ACAGTAGGTTGTTACGATGGATATCAGTCAAATATTAGCTCAACAACAGAATAAAATGTAGGGTTGTTGCTGGTTGGTGGTTTGTTTGTTTTTTTTTTTTTGGGGGGGGGCCAACAAATGTGTTCAAAGCATCAAATATAATGTAGATGTTCACCTCTAAATGCACATGGCGTACATACTACGTCAATGGTGGCATGCCTACATATTGTCCTACACAGCAGAAAATTCAGTGTTACACTGGCTTTCCAAGATACATATATACTGTATGTACATGTACTATTTAAGAGTATTGAAAGTCAGTAATCTTATTTAACTGTCAGGACTCAGAGTAGCATTCATGCATTAATGTTTTTTGTGTTTTAACAAGCAGAGGCTCTTGACAGTCAAAAAAGTCTGACATATAATAATGAAATTTTGTGACACCGAGAGACTCTAAACAAGATGGTTTAAAGGCTGAGTACCTACCAGAACTACATTTTACTGACTTACCGTGAGCAAAATAGAGACCATTTCACATGGTATTTTGTAAGTTAACACCAAACAATCAGTTTGAGTAAGACTCCATATGAATTAAGAGACTATCAGGTTAGAAAAGCTCTGCAGAAAATGTGAGGAACGGTATAAATCTGAGTAAGGACTTAAGTTTTTTTTGTCCAACATATTTACCTTACATAGGCTGGTATTAGGCAAAAATAAAAGCATGGCTATGACATGAAAAATAATTTTCCTAAAAAAAGGCCATTATATAATTTCCCTGGTGCATCCCCTGAGAGTGCAGCCAAAGCTGAAGGATTTGTTTATTTATGTACATTGCATGTCTCTATTCTGAAACGAGTGAAGGAAAACTGTTTTACTACAGCTCAACAAAGTCCAACAAAGAGTTACGCATTTGAAATTCTACAGTGAAGATAAACTGTTCTTGAAATTCAGCTGGCAGCCTGCCTCACTAGTCATCCTTCGATTTGATTTGTGTGCTTCAAGAATCTGGCCCCAACACACAAACTGTGAGCCAGGAATCCAAACAGAGAAACCAAGAACCATCCTTGGCAAGCTAGGTTTTCGGCATCACTGCGACTCAGTCGATTAACGCGGTCGCCATCAGTCCTCTTCTGTGAAGCTTTAATGTCAACTCATAATGAAACTAAACTTCTGTGTGAAGGGTGTCATTCCACTGTTTGCCTTTAAGATACAGTGTGTCATTACTAGGCATCTGTGTGCATGTGTGTTTTGCACAGGAACCAGAGAGCGCACATACTGTTTAAATTATTGCGCATATGTACATAAGGTTTTGTGCAATGATCCGTGCAAAGCATTTAGTTGGGCTGAGCTTTCACTATTGCTCACGTCATTTGTACTGTGCTCAGTGACTGAATGTTTGAACCTCATTTAATAAAGTCCGAAACATAACACTTACAAAAATCACTTTCAGCAGCCTCTGAAATATCCAGCACTTAATGAAATTGACAATTTTGTTTTCAAAAGGATGACAGGTTTATATACTGACTCCCTACTTTTTTTACATTACATGAACCATACATAAATGCCATATTTCCATCATGCTTTCCATGTTGTTTTCTACCATTTCTAGTTTTACTGGTGCTCTTTTAATTCATTACATTATCTTGTTGAAGGTACTTCTTCCTCAGTTGTTTAATGGCACCCAACTAAAAAATTGGTGCTTCTAAATGTTTACGTTGATGAACCAACTCCTAATATTAGTATAATATTAGTATAATAGCAGAAAAACGGACAACACAATGTGCATTTTCTTATGCCAAAATTCAATGCAATTCTAGATTCCATTAAAATTTGATCTACGTTTCGATGGAAACCTGACCACTGATTTTGACAATGGACCAGAGAGGTTGCAGTGACAGAACAGCTTAAGATCTAAGGGGATTATTGTCACAATGGGGGTCAGTTCAACATTCAACAGTTACTAAAGAATAGTACCCTTTCTGAAGTACTATATCTGCACATATCCAAATATGACTGCACAAGAGTGGCACATGCTTCCTCGGGGTGAGTGTGTCTTTTAGGATTTTTGGTGAAGAGGGCTGTGACTAATAATACATAACAAGGCCACAGTTTTGCCCATTTTTGCCTATAAAAAAAACAATTAGCTCTTTTGTCTGCTCTATTTCTCTGAGGACATGAACAGGCTTATTATTACTAGAAGAATAAAGGTGTGTTAATGAAATCCATGGCAGGAAAAGGAAGATCGCTGCACCACCTGTTCAACATATTCATATTCAGGGAAGAAGAGCTCAGGTTCCCACATGAGCACCTACCATCTGTTTAAAAAATACATCCCATTTTGGTTTTCAATAACAATGCATGCTTTGCTAAGCACAGACACCTCAGAGCTTTCTAATTTCAATGTCTACATTCAGATTTTGTATAATATACTGTTTTATAGTATTTGCTGTATATTCCACTTTTTTCAGTGGTCAGTATAAGAAGAGCTACTTTGAAGCAGCAAATGGCTGATTGAGTGCAACTAATCTAATGGCAGACATTTGTGTCAGGACCACAAAACAAAAACCAAGTGTACATTGGTACATTAGAATTCTAAACACAAAAGCAGGACTAAAAAAAAAAAAAGCTGATGAAAATATATCTTAAATCAATTATAGCAAAGACCATTAGTGTTATCAGGACATGCAAACAATTTCAACGCAGTTGTTAAGGGATATTCTCAGCAGTTTATCAGAAATAATCCCAACAAAGAGTCAGCTAAGACAAAGGATCACTGTAGGCTTCAACAATGTACCAAAGGCAGACTTAAAGGTGCAGTGTGTCAGATTCAGAGGGGATCTGTTAGCAGAAACAGAATGTAGTATTCATAATGAAATGTAGTTTTAATATGCTGTCCTTGGTGTATAATCACCTGTAAATAAGAATCATTGCATTTTCTTTAGCACAGGATAAGCATCTTATCCTATTCTGGTGGCATGCCCTTCCATGTTGCGCCACTATAGTAGCCCAGAACAGACATATCAGACAGGCTCCAGAGAGGGAATTTCACATCGTCACATTCAAGTAGCAACCTGAAATCAGTAACACTATAGCACAAAACAAAACAAGGATACAGTAACATGCTTTAGAATGTAGCACCGTGAAACAATCAAAATGTTTTATTTCTTTTATTTCACGGCTTTATTTTATTAGCACCGCTCCCTCTCTTCACTCACACACTAGCTCACTCAACCACAATCTCCCTCCCTCTTTCTCTCTCTCTCTGTGGCATAGATTTAGAAAATACAGTTAAATTTAGACAAAAAGATTAAAACCAACTCTCAAGAATGACTGATTCCTTTGTTCCTAGCAACGAGTCTTTGAATAGAATAGAGTGATTGTCCAGTGTTAGCCACCATGTTGGGAGGCACAGCGCTCCAGGGCACTGTGCCTTCAGTCACATGACTGAAAACTGTGAACAGGGAAGCAAATTTCAAACTATTTTCCTAATCAATAGCCGGCAACATTAACAATCAATATATTGCAAATGTATTAAAAATCAAAAACTGAAATCTCATTTACAAAAGTAATCAGACCCTTTGCTGTGACACTCCACATTGTATCCTGTGTATCCTATTTGCTTTCATTGTTCTTGAGATGTTTCTGGAACTTCACTGGAGCCCACCTGTAGCACCTGTGATGAGTTTAGAAAGGCGCACGTGTGTACATATGGTCCCACAACGCTCACTGCATGTCAGCACAAAAAGCAAGCCATAAAGTCCAAGGAACTCTCTGTAGGCCTCTGGGATGAGACTGTGGTGAGAGATAGATCAGAGAAAGGGTAGAAACCATTTCCAAAGCTTTGAATATTCCCAGGAGTACAGTGGCTTCAATAACCATGAAATGGAAGAAGTCTGGAACTGTCAGGACTCTTCCTAGAGTTGGCCATCAAGCCAAACTGAGTAACTGAGAAAGGACCATGGTCAGGGAGGCAACCAAGAATGCGTCTAATCTGACGGAGCCTGACGGGATCTGCCAGGAAGAACAAGATAAACTGACCAAATCCAGGTGTGCAAAAACTGTACAGACTTACCCAAGAACACTGGAAACTATAAGTGCTACCAAAAGGGGCTACTACAAAGTGCTGAATTAAAAGTTATGTAAAAACATATTCTGCTGTGTCATTATGGGCGACTGAGTGTAGACTGACGAGCAAAAATAGCAAATCATTTAAAATTAAATCTACAGAATAAAATATGCAAAAATTCAAGTGGTCTGACTACTTTCTGAATCCACTGTACAGTATGTACATGTGAGGACACTAAAAAAGAAAACTGAACAAAGCCCTATTTTATTATGGGGTACTATTTTTTTTTCTGTCTAAGACACATGGCTTGATCTTCCTCTTGACAAAAGCTAATTTAATAAATCGAGAATGTAATGGAAACACTTATGGAATGTCAGTAGGGCAGTGTCCTGCCCTTTAGCCAGCTACCTATGTCACAGCAGATGCAGTGCATGTGTGAATTTTAAATTTATGTTTAATAAATCAAAATAGTGGAGCTGGATAACATTTATATTTTTGATTAATTAAGAGATGTTTTAAAATAAGAAAAATAACTTAGATAATTGATTGATAAAGATTTTGAGTCAAAATAATGAGGTTCTGGATGCTCTTTATAATCACCACTGACAAGAATTAACTCTACCAATATTTTTTGTCAAGCAGGCAAAAAGTAAAGTGTGGGAGAGGTGGTATGATGAAAAGAAAATCTTGAGTGATACCAGATAGTTCCTGAACCTGCACCAGATCTGGATGGTGCATGTGAAATTGCTCAAAAAAATAAAATAAAAAGAACCCACGACTGCAGTAGTTCTCTTGTAAAAAAAAAAAAAAAAAAAACACACACACACACACACACACACACACACACACACACATTTAAAAGGCATGGAATTACAATGGTGCTTGTGGAGGCTGTTCTGTCTAATTTATACTGTATGATACTGTTGTAGAAAGCAGGAAAAAATTGAGTACTTACCCAAATTTTCAGGCCAAATGATGATGTGAACTTTGAGATCAGAAACCTGAAAAGATAAGCAACAAAATATTCAGCTCATAAATAAAAGGAAAATTACATTTCAGAAACAAACAATCATCTCGAGCAGAATGGATCCAGATCAATTAATTTAAACCACCTAATCAGGTTATGCAGCAGTTGTTTGGGTGTTTAATTCACCTTGCCGCCTTTCGTTCAATTGTTTACTTTAAGAAAGTTGGCATTAAAGTGCAGCACTAACTCCTAAAGTGAAACAGTAACTTTTGACTGCAGGGGATAAATTCAAGAATGATAATTGTGACTGAAAATTCTATTTCTGGTGTTGTGAATGTCCTACATTCTGTTTAGATACAGGTAAGGGTGGGGGTGGAATGATTTTGTCTCCAGGGCCCAAATGTGTGTATTCTCTTGCTGAGGAATGCTTTTGTTCTGATAAATTGACACTGTCAGTTTCCCACGTTGCCACAGTGTGGCATATACTATAGGGAGCAGGAGTGGAAACACAGATGCTACATACGATTGGTGCCAGTCAATGTGACAGTTCTTGTGTTGTCTTTTCTTTTTGTTGTGGGGATGGCGGGGGGGGGTCTATTTTTCTAAATCTGAACTTCCAAGTTGAGGAAGCAGGAAAGAATAGGAATTAATACACCTACACTCCTCTTCTCCCTTTGGATTGGCAAAAATCTCTTTGTACTTGCATCATAATTACTGGCGGGCGCCTGTTTGGGATTCTTATCCATGCCTCCTTCACACTTTGCTTTTGTTACAAATAAAACTAAGCCTTTTCTCAACTTCAGTTCAGTTTCTTGCACCGTGCTAATGTTAAGAAACAAGTACTGCCTGAAGTGGCATCCCTTGTTCTAGCATATGCTCCTTATTTTCAGACGTCTTGCCCAAACACAGCAAGTAGCCCGATGTGAAGGAAACATAACCAGCAGCCAGGGTGTTGGGGACATGTTGATCCAGGGAAATGAACGTTATGAACCAGCTCTGTTTTGGGGTCTTTTCATACAGCCTGACACACCGATTCAATTCAAAGTGCAGTCTCAATTACTGAGTATGTTTAACATGCTGCGGTGGAAAGTAACTCAGTACATTTACTCAAGTATTGTACTTGAGCACAATTTTGAGGTATGTGGACTTTGAGTTTTTTCATTTTGTGCTACTTCATACTTTGACTTTACTACATTTTAGAGGAAAATATTTTATTTTACTCCACTATATTAGTTTTATAACTTTAGTTACTAGTTACTTTTCATAACCAGATTATTCCAAAAGATTTTATTGGCCTCTGGTGGAAAATTCACAAGCTACAAAGCAATATGTAAAGTGCTTCAAATTATTAGCATATAAGCTGGTTAAAACTAGCCCCCCTTTATTAAATGTCATGTACGCATTAATTCATCAGTAATTATATTTCAATAATATGATATTCATAAATTTGAAATGTGCCATTATGTACGAGTACTTTATGTTTTGATACTAAAACTTTTACTTAAGTAACATTTTGAATGCAGGCCTTTTTACTTGTAACTGAGTATTTTTACACTGTGGTATTGCTACTTTTACTTAGGTATCTGAGTACTTCTTCCACTGCTGTGGTATTGCTACTTTTACTTAGGTATCTGTTTAATTCTTCCACTGCTGCTAACAGGTTTGCCTCAAAAACACTGACCTTCTACCTTCAGTTTGATGTTGAGGACTGACCGTTGGTGTATGTTTTGTTGTCCTTTGAAAAAGAATGTTTTCCTTTACTACTTTCAGTCAAATGCGTACATGTGCATGTTAAGTATATTTTTAGTTAATGACTTTTAAGACTTTACACCAGAAGACAATACATAAATATTTTGCTAAACTAACTGAGTTACAATGTGAACAATACATATATTTTAAGTACTAAGGCTGAAATAATCAGCTGAATCTTTCACCGACAGAAAATGAATTGGTGACAATGTTGAGAATCCATTCATTATTACGCTTAAATTTACAAGCAGTAGCCTATACAAAGCTTTAATAGTTACATATTGCACATCATAATGTAGTTTTAAGCAGACATTTGTGCTTGCATATTAATGTACCAATTTTGTCAACAATTAGAACTTTGAGTCAAGACGCATTTTATATTATAGCTACATTTTACTATATTGGTTATTTATTACCAAAATATGCACATGGGTGTCCACAGAGTTATGGTTATTGACAAATATGTAAAGAAACTCCATACAGCTGACGTGTTACTTGATGTTCTGCCATATTAGAGCCTGAAGCGTTTATCAATTAAATGAAAAGATTGATTTATAAAACAAAAGACTTTAGCTGTATGCTGGTGAGTATGCATCTGAAGTAAACAAAAACTGTTACAAATATTTTTAAAAAGTCGAGAGCAGTAGATTATCACAAGGGATGACTGTAGCTAATACACTGCTAGATAGAACAGGTGAACCTGCCAGACATAAGTTTAACGGAGCTGTTATAAATCTAACTAACACCAGACAGGAATTCTACACAGTTGCTGACTAACTGCAGACAACACATCTTAAAAAAGCCCATTCACACAAATCCACCCAAAAACACTCTTTGTATCCTGGTATAATGTCTTAACTTAACTGATCCATTAGTTTTGGGATCTCTGCCAATAAGACTAGTAATTAGAATTTCATTTGTTGTTGACAACACAGTGAAAAGGAACAGAAAACCTAAAGGTAACTTGCCTTTTTAGCAACAGTGACCTGTTTCAGTATACATCACAGAGCTTACTGTCAACACTCTTTATTGGCACTTATTTTCCACCAAAATTACAAAACAGTGAAAACTGTCTACCCTCCATATCACCATTGCCCCCCCACCCCAAGTACCACCATCAAGGCCAAACTTTTGCTGTGTATGTATACCACAACTACTGTGTCATCTACCCATATACGCAGTTGACTGAGAAAGTAACTGCTAACTGGGGACCTTATTATAGTAAATGCTTAGAAAATATGCCTCACTTCCTGTTTGCTTGTCTTGGCATCACCTTAAATTGTGCACCGCTGCTATGTGGGTTGGATATTTTATTTATACCTTTATTTACCCAGGGTATATTTACTGAGCACTGATATCGCTGTGTTTTTCAACAACTCCACGTCTCTCACACAGGCAGTTACACATACTCATTCCTGCAAACAACCGTCTGTTAGCCCAGTTTTCTACAACTGCAACACAGCCATAATAGTAGAAATCCAATTTCTTCTCCAGCTAAAAAATCTGAGTGAAAATGAGTCACCAAAACAAATACATTGCTTTCTATACAGTCCAATATCTAACCAGCTGCTGTGACTTCTCAGAGAAGTGAAGGTCTTGAAATCCATCCACAAAACTTGATTGATTATACAGGCGCCGGGTTACAGATCCAAAAAAGTACAAAAGAGTTTCAGCATGTTCTGGGTTAAGCCATCTGGGAAATTTTGCAGCCGAGGAGGAGTTGCGCAAATGATTATCTGGCAAGAAATGGAAATCGTGGAAAACTCGTCAGATTGGTTTGTGAGTTTGTGCGCGTCTGTCAGTTGCAAACCCAATAAATCAAAAGCTGAGTTGTAAAGTTGCTAATGCTGGTACTAGCACTATACCTTGGTTGACAAATACCAGCTGTCCCAAAGCTATATTTTCACTTTTATAGTTTATCAAAAGAAAGTCTGTTGTAAATGTTGATCTGAATAAGTTATCATCATCATCATCTACTTTAGGCAAAGCATTCAAACCATAGCTACTGTACCCTGTTCTGCACCAGGCTATTTGAACAGTACCTTGTGCTGGAGCAAATCCTTAAACTAACTTAGTGAAAAACACAGATATATAATAAAATCCACTTCATTCAAATGGAACAAGAACCCCTTGAATTTGAACCATTTTTTCATGGCTGTTGCCTAATTATCCATCACAGATTTATGTCACAAACACAAATAATGGGCTGTCAAAAATAAATGGCATGCTAGTGGTGTTTTTTCCTAAGACGACAACGACAATAATAACAGCACTTTCAGTCAACCATAATTGAAACAGGCCACTGTTTATTGTTTGTGGACAAGCTATCAATTACATCTCTATTCTTGTGATGCAACACAGAACATATATTTGCATATGAGTCATTATTTGCTAAACACACGCCTCTCTAAGTGCTGCAAAAGATCTGCCCTCAGACACAGTTGCATACTTAAATGAATCAAAAGAAACAAAAACATCATACAAATAGTGTAGGTGAGGCATGCATTTCTACCACACCTGCCAGTGAACAAGGCCAAAAAAACAAGCCCGTGTTTGAACCTAATCCTAACCTCTCCTGTAAGAGAAACATTCCTGGATGTTACTTCCACTGTTCAAATGTGTACTCACACTTCAGCTGCTGTTCTGAGGGGAGCCCCACCATTTCCCTAAGTCTCTAACATCCATCCATCCATCCATTATCTACACCGCTCATTCCTGAATAGAGTGCAGGTGGGGGCTGGAGCCAATCCCAGCTGACAATAGGCAAGAGGCGCGGTCCACCCTAGACAGGTCGCCAGTCTATCACAGGGCTGACATGTAGACAAACAACCACACACACACACACACTCACACTCACACTCACAGGCAATTTAGAGTCACCAATAAACCTAAGCTGCATGTCTTTGGACTGTGAGAGGAAGCCAGAGAACCAGGAGAGAACCCACGCACAGGGAGAACATGCAGACTCCGCACAGAAAGGCCCCAGGTAAGTCCCTAATAGCAGATAGCAAAACAAAATTGTTCTGGCATATTTGTATAATTACAAAGGTATCTAAAAATGGCAAACTGGTAATGTTGATCTAGCAGACTGATCTGAAACTGAACTGGAAACAAGTTTGACACTGTGGGCTTCTGCCTTAGACAAAATAGAAACAACTGCGCCTGACCCCTAACCCCACTCTACAGGTTGGAACTACAGTTCCCATACTGCTTTGGGAGATATAAACAGAATGTTGCCGTGGATTTTGGAGTTACACTTTGAGCTACAACCTGAATGTATTTTTT